TCTGCTAGTAGTGCCAGTAATCCTTACAGAACGAAGTCATACAGAAGGTACATAAAAAGATTCACTTTGCTGTAGAGAAAACCGTGAATGCCGTAGAGCAAGAATTATATATTCCTAGACTGAAATGAAAAGTTGAAAGAGTAATTGCTAACTGTATAGAATGTATACCATACAACAAGAAGCAAGGAAAAGCAGAAGGATTTCTTCATCCTGTACCGAAAGAAAACGTTTCCTTGAGTACGTACCATGTCGACCTTATTGGACCTCTTCCATCGACGAACAAGAGATACCAACACATTCTGACTGTGGTCGACGCTTTTACGATATTTACTTGGGTTCTATCCAGTGAAATCACCAACTACGCAAGAAGTTATTTCAAAATTTGAAGCAACAACAGTCTGTGTTTGGAAATCCGGCCAGAATCATTTGATCGAGGTAGTGCCCTTACATCGAAAGAATTTTCAGCTTATTGTACAGAAGAAGGCATAGAGCATGTCAAAATTACTACCGGTATTCCAAGAGGTAACGGACAGATTGAGCGAATCCATAGAATTTTGATTCCTGTTTTGTCAAAATTATCACATGAGGACCAACAGAATGGTTTAAGTATGTTCCACATGTCCAGAGAATAATCAACAGTACAACTACGAGAAGTACAAAATATTCACCGTTTGAGCTTCTCATAGGCACGAAAATGAAGAACAAGGAAGATCTAAGAATTAGTGAGATATTGAATGAAGATTATCTAAAGCAGTTGATGCAAGAACGTGATGAAATGAGAGAAGATGCGAAAACAACATTTTGAAGATACAAGAAGAGAATCGAAAAAGTAGAATGCCATGAAGGACCGAATTTGACATCTACTGCGGCTGACCATATGAAGCCATGGTCAAATTGATTGATGTTTGTATCAGCTCAAACCTAAGGACCATATACTATCTTTTTTATTTTGTTTTATTTTTTTCTTCTCTTTGCAGGTACATCATGATGATAGTGACGTCCACTCAACAGACATCCAGGACGATGCCTCCTCAGTATGGCCGAAGATGTGGAGATCATCGACGACCGATGCTAAATTAGAATACCAGCGTGGTGACGTCATCCCAGATTAGCGCAGTGTGGAGCAGCTAAGACAAGGCCAGATAGCGTCCAGACGTTGAAGAATGTGGAGTGTAGCAGAGGCGAGCGGATGGCTTGCTTGTCCTCAAGAGTTGAAGAAGATAGACGGTATTCTTTGGTGTTTAAGTGCCTTTGATGCTTAAGCCAAGCCGATCATGTTAATTAAAGCTGTCTGTGGATGTTAACAGGATAACGTATTCTATCAACGCCGGTGAAAGTAATAGTGTGTGTGAATTGCTCATCATTACATGAATCCTGTGGACTGATCAGGACATTCCTTGCAATATTAATTTTGCTTAACCTTTATTACTTTTATCTATTTCTTATTAGTAAAATAAAAGCATTTAAAATGCAATATTCGTGCTCTAAATGCGTGTCTTGAAAGTAAAACCTACATATATGATCATTTTGGAAACATTTAAATTACACATTAAAAACACATAAACACTTTTTGAATATATTTTATTTAGCAGAACAATCTCTTCCTAATGAGACATTTTTGTCTACACAAGACACCAGATTATGTGGAGCCTTACGCTTGGAAACAGGCATTACACAAGAAATATGGTCCGTCAGAGCAACATGAACTTTTTTCATTCTTGGAGGCTTCCCAGCTTCCTTCTTTCGCTTCCCAGTAAAAAGAGTTACTCTGCGTCGAATTGCAGTTGGCTGAACAGGTATTTGAGTACCTTTCCTTTTAGGATTTAAAACAGATTTGGGGCCTGAATATTCGGCAAAATTGTGCATTGCAGCAACTAAACCTGTTTCTGTTTTTGCATACTTTTTATAATTTGCGACCATTTTTTTTACTGCACGTTTAAATATTTCTGGGTTTTTTCTCTGCCTTCTTTAATTTTATTAAATATATCTTTAATTATTAAAAATTCTTCATCATTTAATTCATCATCAGATTGGTTATTTGAAGTAGATGGTGCACTAAAGTTAAGCATACCTGGTATTGAAGACGTACCTGCATCAATAGAGGAGTGAGATTTTTTCGACTCTAAAGAATTTGGATTATACGTTAACGGCTTCAAGAAGCTTTTCAGATGGAAGTGGATTTCCTGTAGCAATTTCATACATCAGTGATCGGCTCATTTCTGAATACACGAAATCATTGCTGATATTGCTTTCTTTTGCTACTGCAGCTATATGCTTACAATACTGCCCAGTAGTTCCAATATAGCATGTACAGTATGAAGACTGTGCATCAACAAAATATGTTTGTTTACTTCTTTCCACTAAAAAATGCTGCTCTTTTGAATCAAATGATATATTATAACTGTCATTTGAATCACCAGTCGCAATAAATTTCTTCAGTAGGCTTTTAGTATATCTGCCATAGCTGAAATCCAAATACCTGCGATGCACATAATTTTCATAGCCTGCTACTATGAAGTCGACTAACTGAATTACAGAATACGCTTTTACTCGGTTCAGTACAGTGTCCTGCAACACTCTGAAAACAACTTCTATGTAATTATTAGTGTTATTACCTCGTATTGGTAAGCCATTTCTGAAGCAGCTTGCCCAAAGACTTTTTTTACCCAGTAAGGTGGAAAAATATGTTTGTAATTTTTTGGATTTTTGAAATATATCTATTTTTTCTACAATTGATATTTTTTGTTGAAATTCAGTTTCTGTTTTGACATACATTGCCTCTTTAAAACGAAAGAAAATTTCCTGGGGGTTACACGCAGGTATTTCATTTTTAACATTGCACAGCCAGCTCCACATTGCCTTCAATACATGGAACTAACAAAATAAGTATGTTGCATTTGGCCAGACGCTGCTCAATGCATTTTTTTTCTTTAAAATCCCCATCCGTCATAAAAACTTTAGGTTCAGAAATTGTTACAGCTGCGTTGACAGGCAAACAGCTTTCTAGAAGTTGTACACCTATGATGAGATATATATTTAAAGGAGAATGAACTACATCTGCATCCAAAATTAGCTTTGCATACAATGATATTCCAAAAAATAGTAAAATATCTGATTAATTTTTCATGCAATGAACAAAAACAAATTTGTTACTATTATACACTTCAATTTGATCAATCTCTTTCTGATAGAATAAACAAAGGCATAATTACATACAAAGCTTTGTCAAGCACTCTGCACATAAAATCCATGCAAATCCCTCAAATTTGTGGGGTTTTTTTAACACTTTGTTACTGAGTTAGAAACATTTTTTATAGCACTGAAGTATCATTTTAAAGTTTCAAAGGAAAGCTATCAGCCATTTTAGTGTACTGCAGACAAATATTGAGCAGCATTTTTTGCTGAAATAAAGAAACTGCAGAGAAATTTTGAATATTCCAATAGAGGAAAATCTCTGCCTTCTGGAAACCACTGAGAGAATTTGGAATTGTTGCTAGGATGCCAAAATATGATCACAGATTGGGGGGGGGAACTATTTCTTAAAATCAGTTTCTATACAAAACTGTGCAATCGAATTTGACTCCTAGACGGCTGAATTTGAAGTCCGCAAGCACCAACGGAATATTCATTTTACCAAAGAATAGGAGAGGGGAGGAAAACCTTCTATAAATTGTAGATAAATACAGAAAAAGAAAAACGAGTAATCACTCAATTTACTTTCTCATGTTGCTGTAAAGAGATTTCTAAATAATGTGTAAAATATGAAAACAAAAACATTTTTTTCAGATGTATATGTATGAATAATGTAAAGGACAAATACACAAATTCTTTATTATTTAATAACCGAGATTAATCATTTTTTCAAAAAATGCAAACTTAATGCAATCAGCTCATTCAGTCGACAAGAATCGAATTCAAGCAAGAACTGATTTAAATCACTCAAGAACTAATATGCACTTTTTTTTTTCTTTTAAGAAGTCAAAAAAAAAACATAATTGGTTTTAAGAAATATTATGGAGAGCAAGAAACATTTCTTTCTAACGTGAGTTACTTTAGCCATAAAATCTCTAAGGGAACAATAAGATACTTTTAGTTCAAAGCTGGTACTGTCGAAGTTTGTGCAATGCTGAATCTCTGCAATATTTTTTTAAACAAAAACAGATCACAATGTACTTAGGTAGAAGAATAGCACAAACAAATTACAGAAACATTGGTAAAGAATGTGTATTGTTTCTTTCATGTACCTCAAAATCCTTACTTAATAATTAAAATTTGTATTTGAAATTGCTAGATTTTTCATATGTTGACAATGTTTGCCAAGTCAAGATATCTATAGTTTGGGAATCTGTTTAAAAGAAGTCGCAAAAACCACCAACTTGTGCCTGATAAATAACTTTTACATTTTCGTTTGTAAAAAAAATCACCAAACCGTGCCAAGGTAAGTTGCATTAATTCATTACTTTCTAGAATGAGCATTACAATTATCTTTAATTAAATGGTGTGTTCTAGTTCAGTAAAGAAATAATAGATCACTAATACATTTTAAAGTCTTATGTTTAAAAAAATATTTTTAATGTTCAATAACTATAATATATACCTTTTAAATAAAAATGCAATAAAACCTCTCTTGATAATCATATATGACAGTTAAACTGCTTTGGCCTGGGACATCCAGTACTTTGTAATGGCTCTGTTTGATTGTAATACTATAAGGAAATAATTATTTGATATGCTTCTCCATTATAGTTTTTTTTTTAAATTTTTTTTATTTCTTGTAGAAATATTGCTGCATTCCACTACAGAGCCCTTTTTGGTTTTCATAAAGAACAAAATAGACGGTTATGGGTTTTCAGAAAGCTAAAAAAATAGGGAGCTGTTGAGTAAAATATAACTTCAGCTATTTTTTACTGAATGGAATATATTCAGCAAGATAACACTGGATGATCATCACTCGAAATGAAAGCTGATCCATTTTACAGATTGTAATAATACAATAAGTATTAGTAATAATTAAATAAATCAATCATACCTGTTTTAAATACTTCTTCCTTCTCAACATCAGTAATAACACATCCAACTGGTGCACCACCAACAACAGCTGGTGAAATAAAAAAATATACACGGTGATTCAAAACATCCATATGCCCTGAAGCATCTACTAAAATTAATTCCTTCGCTTGAGGAAGAAGTGTGGCCGTTCGCTGCATTATTGGCGTACAAATTGCAACTGCAATATTATTATTTACAGTTTTCATACTTACTTTTCCAGCAGAAACAATGGAATAATTATTGCAGAAAGCTTTCAAATCGGATATGACATCCTTTCCATGTTTTGCCCCATACAAAGATGCAAATTCATTGTTAAATAAATGCTGAATAACAGATACTGATGGAAAAATTGATGCATCAGCAACTAATCTATCATAATTTTCCGCATCATTAATCTGGAATGCCATATCCAAGCTCCATCGAGCACTTGCTGCAGTGTGTCCTTGACGAAAAAGACGTTTCAGTTCCTCTTTCGTTGATTCAGACAAATCTCTAAATCTTAATGCAGCAGCACTGTCTACAGCATCATTGTGCACATTATGTAATTCAATGACACATGAAAACTCTTTTACAGTCTTATCAGGGTTATCCAAATAGCTATAAATAAAGTAACATTAACAACATATTACTATACAAATAAAATAACATTAGCATATATATTACTGTTATTGAGAAAAAGGTACTCATCTGTTATTGGGGCCGGATTCAGAAATATATGTATGTATGCATGTGTTTATGGATATATTGTTCATCCTCAGCATGTGTGCATATATTATGCATGTATATATTACATATATTATGCATGTATATATATATACACACATTTCTGAATCCAGTCCCCCAATAAATGAAGAGTACCAAGAAAAATACATTTGGCTTTGTTCCCCTTGAAAAGTCAACTAATTTCCGATCAATGACAATGATTACTTGCATTTAATTTAATTCTTGCTTTTAATTTATTCCTTTTACAATTGTTATTCATGATTTAATTCCAGTCTCCGTTAAACATTTTTAACAATTTACATTCAAGTTACTTAAAAACATCTTTCGAGATAGAACTTACTAAGTATGGATTCACTATTTTTTTTAAAATCATTCTACCTATAATTATGATCTTAGGAGATAATATATATCAATATTATTTAGTAAATAAATTATAATTCCTTTATATATTCATTATTACCAAACTGAGTGTGATGTTTTGAATTTTCCAATATGTCTCGAAAACCTAGACAGCAAAATGATGCAGTAGTTATAACATATAATGCTAACCATTTTACCTCTGAAATTATCCTTTGAATATACATTATATTGATTTTTATTAACATAAATACCTTGTATGCTATTATCGCAAATCAGAAGTTTCTATGTTGCAAAAGCTAGGATATATGATACACAGTACGAATAAATACGCAAGTAAATAAAATTACCCATTCAAAATGATATTTTCTGCATTATAATATGAATGTTTTAATTAACAAACTATCCAAATTATGACTAAGGAAGAATTTTTGAAAATTATGCTGATTCTTTTTGCCTTCGTATCTCCAATGATCCAATTTGTGTTGGAAGGGCTTTAATTGCACTAATAAAAATTCTTTTATTTTGCTGCTTCATTATAAAATGCAGCAAAAACTGTTACAGCAGGAATGAAATCCTTTGAATATATATTATATTGATTTTTATTAACATAAAACTTTTAGAAAAAATGCATCTTTTTGAAACAATATAGAATACATCTGGGATAGCAAGAATGCACAGATTCAATACTTAATTATAAGGATCTTATAACTGAATGATAAACTAGTTGAAAAAATATGTATTCAACAGCTGTCATTATACGAACCTTTGCACTATAATTTTCAGAGTTGCTTGGCAATTTGTATTTTTGGAAATCTTCACATTTTTTATACGTCTACGAGAATCAGTATTATGCTGGCAGCGAAAATCTGTACGAAAGATGCTGTATTTGCCGGCACATTTGAAAGTGCGAGCTGTTCTCCATACTACATTGGACAGCTTTTAATACGAATCAATCCATAACTGAAATAAAAAAATTTATGAAATAGGACACGATTACTTTTTTATTAAATAAAAATTTTATGTTTTTATAACAAATGGCTACTGAAATGCATCTCCCTCCTGGCTTTTGAAAAAGCCAACTTCCAAAATCATTAAAAGATTACACTCACTGAAGCGGATTCTTCATCCCTTACTTCAGCAATTCTAAAAGCGGCACTATAAGAAATATCACTCAGAAAATCAATTTTCACAATTTTGTATGAATAATTTTGAGGCAAATTTAACTTCTCCATTACAATTTTCAACGAATCGGTAACAATGCAGAGTATCTCTAATTTTCTTTGTCAGTACTAATAACAAAATTATTTGGCGTACTTGAAACTGACGCCAATAACAGAAAGAAGCAACCCCTTACAATCATCTTTCAACTAATCAGAGTGGACTCTATAAGAAAAGGTCTGTAAGCTTTGTGAATATGCGCATGATACTTGATCCGCGATATTTCGTAATGGCGGCTCATATGTAATTGTGCATGTGTCAAACATAATTACTGAAGCAGCAAACTTCATATGTGATTAGTGAGGGGTATTAAATACAGAAAAATGGCGGTTCATTTTTCAACAGAGTGTACTTATGGTGCTTTTTTTTATGGCTTGACTATGGTGTCGAGCTATTGGCAGTTACTAGCACTGCATATGGTTAGTGTGGTCGCATTATAATAAAGATATATATTAAGTATATACGGAAAAAAAAAACTCCTTCAACTGAGCATGAGATTATATGATATGATAGCAATGAAGGTAGAACTGCTTTTTTTTCGGCTTATGGAATGCTCATGTCTCAGCACCTGTGTTATTGCATCTTTCCTGAACACTTTTGGGGTAGTAAACCATGATATTTAATAATGCTTATATTTGGTTGAAAGTGAACAATAAAATAATATTTTTTTTTCTAATTTAATAATGACTGTTCGGTACAGCTTGAGTATAGGGCCCCATTGGCAATTTTTCTCTTGGAGCACTTTTTGGACGGTTGTTTTTCTGGTAACCCAGTAAATTCTAGAATACTCCACTTCGGCAACCCTGTCGCATTCCTGTGTGTTTTAAACTAGAAAGTTGTCATTTTTTTTCGAAGGAGCAAAATATTGATATATTCAACAAATTTCTAGAAATTGTAAGGGACATAAATTGGGCAGAGTATAGGATTTCTTTGTAAATTTACCATGATTTTGTAAACTTTACTAAATTTCCAGCATTTCTTTTTAATTTAAACATGTTATTCTGAACTCCTGTTTTCAGTTTTATAACTTAAAACTTGCATTTTCGATATTGCTGCTGAAAATATGCCTCCATGTACTTGTGTATTTTCAAACTTTTCTTTACTTTTAATTTAAACATGTATTGAGCTCCTATTTTCAATTTTACAGCTTGTAATTTGTATTTTCAGTATGACTGCTAAAAATGTGCCTCATTTATTTACTTATTTTCAGTTTCACTGTTTAAATATGTATTCTAAATTTGTATTTAAAATTTTTCCTGTTAAAATGTGCATTCTAACATCTATTTTCAGTTTTAACTGCTTTTACAATATGCAATAAAATATAATAAATTTACAATTTAACTTGCCACTATATTTTAAAATATACCCCTACTTACTTATGTACCTTCAAATTTGCTGTTTAAACATATATTCTAAACTTTTTTCTGGTTAAAACGTGCTTTCTAACTTGCGTTCTTCAATTTTAACGGCTTTTCCATGGCTTGGCCAAAAAATCGCCAGTGGGGTCCTATACTCAAGCTGTTCCGACTATTCTTAGTTTACCCTATATAGTTCAGTATTAATAACTCTGTAACTATAACATGTATATATTTACATATTAAATAATTCTGTTAAGATATGTATTGTTTCTTATAAAACATCAAGTGGATGTATAAAAGTTAATAATTTATTCATTTTAACAGTTTTTTATTTAACTCATTTCATCTTCCTTTGCTTCTGTTCTGTTTGTAACATATACAAACACTTACTAAATGAAATATATTTTCCTTTATATATATATATAATATATATTACAGGGCCCCGAAAAATGTTCGTACACTTATGATTTTTATTGAAATACGGCTCTATCCATTAATTAAAAGTAAACTTTCTGAATGAGATTTTAATAATAAGATCTATAATCTATTCGTAACAAAATTACATGAAATATTTTTTTTTAATTTAGCGAAACTTATTTTTAAGAAATTAATAAAAAAAAATTGACAAACATTTTATCTCACAAAAGTCTTCGTACACTGAAATATTTTTAGATAAAATCAAAATTAGAATTATCGTTCGCCGCTTTTTTTTAATTTTTGCATTGTGGTGGCATTTAAAAAATCATTTGCTTTAATTTTTTTTTGATTACTTCATATATTCTATTTATATTGAAAAATGGGTCGCAGTCGTAAGAAATTACAAACCGCATTCGAAATTGATAATTTTTTACCATAGTAGTGGTAAATCAATTCGAAACATCGCTAAATTAGTTAATTTATCCCATTCTACAGTGCAGTATGTGATAAAATGCTTTAAAGAAGAAAATTGGATTGAAAACAAGGTAAGAAAATGTCGACCGAGAAAGTTAACTAAACGTGATGAGAGATTTATTATTAGAAAATTTGTGAAAACCCCACGTTTGAGTGCTGTAAAAGTTTCTGCAGAATTTAATGCAAAGTTTCCTACTTCAATTTCACCTGAAACTGTTCGACGAGTTCTCAGAGAAGCTGGATTACATGGGCGTTCTGCCCGTAAAAAGTTTTTTGTTAGTGAGAAAAACAGTTTTTTGGCTTAGTGAGAATCGAAAAATCAATGATAAATACACCCGAAACGTACTGGAATAAGGCCCTATTTACTGATGAAAGGAAATTTAATATTTTTGGTTCTGGTGGTTGAATAACTATATGGAGAGGAAAAAATGAGGAACTTCATTTTAATAACTTAATTGAAACATTAAAGCATGGCGGTGGAGGTGTTCTTGTGTGGGGGGGGTGCATGGCAGCATCAAGACTATCTAATTTGGTATTTCTTGATGGCATTATGAATCATTCTCTTTATTTAAATATTTTAAGAGACAATTTAAAATCATCAGCCCAAATTTGGGTATTGGAAACAACTTTATTTTTAACATGACAAGGATCCTAAGCTCAAAGTTCGCCTGTGGTGTCTCTATAATTGTCCACAGGTTTTGAAACACCACTCAGTCGCAGATTTAAACCCCATAGAACAAATTGGAAAGAACTGGAGTTAGAGTACGGAAACACGCATCAAAACGAAAAGCGTTCAAAAGTCATGATGAGAATAAATGAACATTGATACAAAGTTACAAAAAACTAGTAAAATCTATTCCACGTTTAAAAGTTAAATCCCCTGTTGGGACGAAAGGATATCCTATTAAATATTAATTTAATGAAAATATTACTATTATGTAAAGATGTTTTGAAGTGTACGAAGATTTTTGTGAAATAATGTGTTTGTCATTTTTTGAATATGAATTACTTAAAAATAAAATTTTGCTATATTTTTAAAATGTTTCATGTAATTTTGTTACGAATAGATTATACATCTTATTATAAAAATCTCATTCAGAAGTTTACTAAAAATTAATTGATAGAGCCTTTCAATGAAAATCGCAAGTGTACGAACATTTTGGGAGCCAGTATATGGGGGACATATCATGAGTGGCATTATATTCAAAACATGTATTTAAGTTTTAAAAAAAAATTCAATCTGAGAAATTTTTATCATGTAGAAATGTTAATCAGAAGTAACATAGTTAGGTAATATTTTGAAGATTGTTAAGTATTATTACATTATAAGTTAGGTTTATTTAGATTTTAACATATACTTAGTTGATTAATACTATCCCTTTAATAAAAGATTTAAATAAATTATAAATATATCTTTTCTTACTTGACATAAGTAATTATCATTTCTAAACTTTTCTTCATTAAAGAGACTGTTATTTCATATTAAAAATTATATAATTTATAATTAATACTTGCCCTAATAGACATAAAAAGATTTTATAACTCAAATGATAAGTGTTCCATTTAAATGTTAAAAAAACTTTTTCTGTTATTCAAAAATATTAGCAACAATTAATCTTCGTGTTAATTTAAATACTTAATAAATTGCATATATTCTATAAAGACATAAATATTAGCCCTATAAGAAAAAAGTTATAACTCATATGATAAGTGTTCTTTAAAACTGTTATATAAGTAGTATTTTCTGTTATGGGCACTGCAAAAAAAGAGTGTTAAAATATGCTTCGAAGATAGCAACAATGTGATCAGCTAAGTCATCTTCGTGTTAGGAGTGAACTGAGCCAAATGTTCATGTGTTATTTATTTGTTTTACTAGCAGCTCGCTGCCAGCTTCGTTCTTTTAATTGTACCGGAAAATGACTGAAGGAACACCAAACGTTAAATTAAAAACTGCGTAGAATTTTACTCTGCAGAACAACTTCATAAAAAAAAAGTTATTACGTATAACAAAATTACAATGAAATAAGCAATATCCCTTAATACAAATATTAATTATCTTAATAAATAGTAAATTCACCAACTTCCCTTTGCAAAATCTTAAGAACTCAAATGGTATAAAGGAGGTTAAGAACTTTGTTTCCTAAAAAAATCACTCAGAACATTTCAATATCTTAAAGACAGTGAAATAAGCAATAAATAACATAAAAAACAAAAAATTTTGAAAAGCAAAGAATAATTAATGATATTTTATCTTATATTTTCAAGAGAAAAAAAATTACTATGAAATAAGCTATATCTCTTAATACAAATATTAATTATCCTATAAAAAAATTAACCAACTTTCCGTTGAAGAAAAAAAAAAATCATGCAAATATTTCAATATCTTACAAACAGTGAAATAAGCAAAACAATAACATTAAACCCAACTCAAAAAACAAAAAATTCCGCGCAGAAGTTGCTCTGTAGAAAACCTTTGTCAAAAAAAAAAAAAAAAAAACAATAAAAATATATTATATTTATATAAAAATGACAATGAAATATGCCAATCTCTTAAAAACAGTGACATAAGAAATACGATGAAAAATTGTTGTCAAACCCATGTTTCTAAAAGAATGAAACTATTCAAAATGATGCAATTTCATCAAAAATCTATCAACAACAATAAGACAGGAAAATTGTTGCCAAAATCACATTTTTAAAGATGTCAGATGTGAGAAGTGTACTCGGAAGCTTCATTTAAAAAAAATTTAAAAATACGAAATATT